AAATCTCCTCCCATGTCCAGACCCTTGGCTCCTGGACACGCTGCTTGGTCCTGGTACGGTGGGTTTTTCTGTCACGATCGTCTACGAAATGAGTGGACCAAGGCGATACGAACATGACTTTAATTGGTAAAGTACACGAAACAAAACAAAACACGATCGTAAAGTCCACAGGGACAATGACTGACAAGGAACAAAAACCCACAACCACAAGGTGAACACAGACAGTTTAAATATGGCTCCCAATCAGAGATAACGAGCCGACAGCTGACACTCGTTACCTCTGATTGGGAGTCACTCGATCAACCAAGAAAACACAACCAAAGACAACCAACCAAAACACAACAAAACGAACACACCCTGGCTCAAAATACAAAGTCCCGGAGCCAGAGCGTGACAACTACTTGAGTAAAAGTCTAAAAATATTTGGTTTTAAATATACTTAAGTATCAAAAGTAAATGTAATTGCTAAAATATACTTAAGTATCAAAAGTAAAAGTGTGAATCATTTCAAATTCCTTATATTAAGCAAACCAAACGGCACAATAGTCTTTGTTTTTATTTTATTGACGGATAGCCAGGGGCACAATCCAACACTGACATAATTTACAAACAAAGCATTTGTGTTTAGTGAGTCCGCCAGATCGAGGCAGTAGGGATGACCAGGGATGTTCTCTAAGTGCGTGAATTTGACAATTTTCTGTCCTGCTAAACATAACAAAATGTAACTAGTAGTTTTGGATGTCAGGGAAAATGCATGGAGTAAAAGGTACATTATTTTCTTTAGGAATGTAGTGAAGTAAAATAAAAAGTTGTCGAAAATATAAATAGTAAAGTACACATACCCCCCAAAGATAGTTAAGTAGTACTTTAAAGTATTTTTACTTAAGTACTTTCCACCACTGGGCCTATAACACATTGCTGCCTCTGACTTCAGAGGTAGTCTTGAAAACTTTTGTCTCATTAGTGCTCTCCTGCCATCTAGGGCTCAAAGTAGGAATCATCTGACTGGATCTCAGTTGAATTTGTCACATATCCTGGTTTACATGGTCTTTGTGCTACACACAGTCAGTGCCTTTAGAAAGTATTCATACCCCTTCACTTATTACACATTTTGTTTTGTTACAGCCTAAATTCAAAATGGATTAAATCAACAACAACAAAAACTCACCGATCTACACACACAATAACTAATTATGACAAAGTGAAAACATATATTTAGAAATGTCTGCAAATATATTGAAAATGAAATGAATAAATATCTCATTTACATAAGTATTCACACCCCTGAGTCAATACTTGTTAGAATCAACTTTGGCAGCGATTACAGCTGTGACTCTAAAATTCTTCAAGCTCTGTCAAGTTGGTTGTTGAGCATTGCTAGACAGCCATTTTCAAGTCTTGCCAATTTAGATCAAAACTGTGACTAGGCCACTCAGGAACATTCAATGTCATTTTGGTAAGCAACTCCAGTGTATAGTTGGCTTTGTTTTTTAGGTTATTGTCCTGCTGTAAGGTGAAATAATCTCCCAGTGTCTGGTGGAAAGCAGACTGAACCTCGTTTTCCTCTAGGATTTTGCCTGTGCTTAGCTACATTCCATTTATTTTTAATCATGAAAAACTCCCCAGTCCTTAACGATTACAAGCATACCCATAACATGATGCAGCCACCACTATGCTTGAAAATATGGAGAGTGGTACTCAGTAATGTGTTGTATTGATTTGCCCCAAACATAGCACTTTGTAATCAGGGCAAAAAGTAGATTGCTTTGCCACATTTTTTGCAGTATTACTTTAGTGCCTTGTTTTGGAACATTTTTATTCTGTACAGGCTTCCTTATTTTCACTCTGTCAATTAGGTTAGGATTGTGGAGTAACAACAATGTTGTTGATCCATCCAAAGTTTTCTATCACAACCATTAACCTCTGTAACTGTTTTAACGTCACCATTGGCCTCATGGTGAAATCCCTGAGCGGTTTCCTTCCTCTCTGGCAACTGAGTTAGGAAGGATGCCTGTGTCTTTGTAGTGACTGAGTATATTGATACACCACCCAAAGTGTAATTAATAACTTCACCATGCTCACAGAATGTATGCACTCACTAACTGTAAGTCGCTCTGGATAAGAGCGTCTGCTAAATGACTAAAATGTAAATGTAAATGTGCCCTTCTTTGCGAGGCATTGGAAAACCTCCCTGGTCTTTGTGGTTGAATCTGTTTGAAATTCACTGCTCTACTGAGGGAACAGGGACGGCTTGTTCAATAGGGCGATATGGGCGACGCACTGCCAAACGGGAAAAGGAAGGGATTTTTTTTCTAATCAATTATATCACGGCAACAGCAGTTATCAGTGTTCACGTCTGATCTGCCAGCCACTAAATGTCAAATCAGGCTAAAGTCGTGCTTCAAATGGCCCCGCCCGTTTTTGGGGCGATTTCAGTCAAGTTGAAAATCGCCCAGAAGTCTCTCATAGCCTGTCATGTAAAATCTATTTTTTTCACATTTCAAAGCTTTCAATACATTCTCTATGGGTGTCTGTGGGCTTGCACTTACGCGCTTTCGTCATACGTGACGTAACGTTGAACGTAACTAAGACAATGGCGGCTAGAAGCGTCTCTGTTGCGACCTGCAGTGCGGCGTTATTTTATGTTTTTAATTTGTAGACTTAGTTTACAAACATTCTGCCAACCATGGATTTCCAGTGGTTGGTTTTGGACTGATCTTGTTGATCGTGTACATACCCGCTACGAACGGACTAAATAATGAAAACGCTGCTGGCAGCTGAATCCCAATACAGCTGGGAGACTTGGCTGGATGAGTCCCGGACAGAGAAGTGGAGCCGGCCACCTTCACCCTGGTCAGAGCGGACCGCGATCCTGGTAAGAGAGCGACTCTGTACCCCGACATTGAACTGCTTTCTGTGTCATTGCGACCTTACTATCAATTCAATTCAATTTAAGGGCTTTATTGGCATGGGAAACGTGTGTTAACATTGCCAAAGCAAGGGAAGTAGATAGTAAACAAAAGTGAAATAAACAATAAATATTAACAGTAAACATTACACTCAGAAGTTTCAAAAGAATAAAGACATTTCAAATGTCATATTATGTATATATACAGTGTTGTAACAATGTGCAAATAGTTAAAGTACAAATGGGAAAATAAATAAACATAAATATGGGTTGTATTTACAATGGTGTTTGTTCTTCACTGGTTGCCCTTTTCTTGTGGCAACAGGTCACAAATCTTGCAGCTGTGATGGCACACTGTGGTTTTTCACCCAGTAGATAAGGGAGTTTATCAAAATTGGGTTTGTTTTCGAATTCTTTGTGGATCGCTGTAATCTGAGGGAAATATGTGTCTCTAATATGGTCATACATTTGGCAGGAGGTTAGGAAGTGCAGCTCAGTTTCCACCTCATTTTGTGGGCAGTGTGCACATAGCCTGTCTTCTCTTGAGAGCCAGGTCTGCCTACGGCGGCCTTTCTCAATAGCAAGGCTATGCTCACTGAGTCTGTACATAGTCAAAGCTTTCATTAAGTTTGGGTCAGTCACAGTTGTCAGGTATCTGCCACTGTGTACTCTCTGTTTAGGGCCAAATAGCATTCTAGTTTGCTCTGTTTTTTTGTTTGTTCTTTCCAATGTGTCAAGTAATTCTCTTTTTGTTTTCTCATGATTTGGTTGGGTCTAATTGTGTTGTTGTTGTTGTTGTTGTTGTTGTCCTGGGGCTGTGTGGGGTCTGTTTGTGTTTGTGAACAGAGGCCCAGGACAAGCTTACTAAGGGGACTCTTCTCCAAGTTCATCTCTCTGTAGGTGATGGCTTTGTTATGGAAGGTTTGGGAATCGCTTCCTTTTAAGTGGTTACTATCTGCCCCGTGAGTTCCCCCAATTGTTTGTTACCGTTGTGTACTGTTGATAATCACAAGTTTACTGGAGAACTGAGACCAAGTAGAGACTTTGGACAGGGTGGATATGGTATAATAAAGGCAGTTTATTCAGAGGTAAAGATATCTGGAATCGCGTGCACGGACTCGTGCACGTGTGTAGGTCACCTAAATCATCAGAAAAATTGCCCCTCCTGAGAATTTTTTCAGGAGCCGCCACTGTGAGGGAACAAACAGATAATTATATGTGTGGGGTACTCCTGAACTTATTTAGGCTTGCCATAACAAAGGAGTTTAATCCTTATTGACTCAAGACATTTCAGCTTTTCATTTTAGATTAATTTGTAAACATTTCTAAAAACATCACTCCACATTGACATTATGGGGTATTGTGTGCAGGCCAGTGACACAACATCTCAATTTAATCCATTTAAAATTCAGGCTGTAACACAACAAAATATGGAAAAAGTCAAGGTGTGTGAAAACTTTCTGAAGGTACTGTAGTGTTACCATTCATCCATCATTCCATCATTTCAGCATTAGCTGGGGTATATGGAAACAAAAACAACAGCAACAAAAACAAAACACCCCAAAAGACTTCTGCATTGCCCAGTCATTGACCTGAATACTGTATGCAACTATGCATCCACTTTAGTTATGGATTCTATTCATGTTAATAGATATCTGCATATGTAACTCGTGTAATCCCCCTGAAGCAGAGGTGAGAGATGCAGGCCCATGTTTAGTGTGTAAGTGTAGAACAATAAAATGTTCTGAATAACAAAGAGCAGCTTGTTTTCTTTTTTGAAGAGCATCTCGTCTTTTAGAGAACGGAAACTGATGTAAGAGAATGGAAACTGATGATGATGTTGTATTCCCTCCCCATCATCACCCTCAACCCCTGAGCCACAGGAGACAGTTCTGAGAACTTGTCAGTGTGAGCTGTGGCAGCTGGTTGGTTGACGTTCACCATCCTAGCTCTACTAATGGCCAAATTGTCTGTCAATCAAAACAGGTTATCGTTTGTGTTTTTTTTTCACCACGCAAGTCACATAAGTAGGCGCTTCATATCACTGTAAATTGTTGATGGTGGAGGCTTTCTTCATCGCGCATTTTCAGCGATGTTTATCCCTACTTTAGAGGAAGACATGCACCATTTTAAACCGAATCGACACAGGCACTACACAACGAGATGCTGTGGGTGTTGCCATGTCAGGACGGGAACCATAATTCTCGGCACTTGGTACATGGTACGTACAAATGGTCGCCTTGCTAGATTGTGCTAACGTTAGCTTCGTTGCGGTCATGTTGCAGTACCCCCTCGTTGCCATTGCACTGTCGAGAGTAGGCCATTGCGCTAACTAGCTACCAGTAAATTAAACCGAAGCTAGTATTTGTCGAGAAAGTCACTTTGATATCTGAATGCGTGCCCTACTTTCGCACATATTGCTAGGTAGCTGATGTCAATGAATGTTCCTATATTAGCTAGCGCTAATGTAATCAGATATTTAACGTTAACAAACGTTAGTTAATTAGCTAAGTGTCAACGTTACCGTTAGGGACTTTCAGCCAATAGTGTGATTGCGGCACGTAATTCGGGGTGTCCCTGCATATATAGCAGGGCTGCGAACTTTTGAAGAAAGCTTGGAGTGAGATTTGCTAAGTGAATTTCATTGCCCCTTGACACAGTCCCTAGAACTGGGACTGGGAAAATGTTACTGTTTTAAAGCAAATGTCCTGCCATTCTGCGTATTTTGACATGGTTTAGGCCTATGACCAGGGTGGAAAATAAAAACCACAGGTCAGGTGTATTCAGGATGCTTTGAATATTAAATGAACACTCAAAATTCGACGACTTTGAGTGGATTACATTTTAAAGTACGCTAATATATTTTTTTTAATGTATTTTTAGGTGGTTTGACAATTAATTCAGACTAATGAAATAAGAGAGGGAGACAGGCAAATGCTAGAACATTTTGGAGCCGGGATCGATCCCTGTTCTCAGGTTGAAAGTTGTGTGCAACACATGCTGGGGAGTGTTACCACTACACCAAGTCTGCACAGGAATTTTCTATATTAATGGTTGAGGGTAACCAAATCATAGATTGCAGTGTCCTTGTCCATAGACTGCTTTCAAGGTAAGGACACAAACATTTTGTTATTCGGGTGAACTAGCTATCTCTTTAAAATAGGGCTGGAAGAAAATCCTGCTTGCTCTCCAGAAAGTTGGCCACCCCTGATCTATGTCTCCCAAGTGCAGGGTGTTTGAAAATGTTATTGTTATAACAATTAATTTCTCAATCATCAACCTAAAATAAAAATCTAATGAATATCCATATTCAGGTGGTTTATTCCTACTAGTTGAAGATCCCTGCCTTCATCATACTCTACATAGACACGATATGATGCGTTTATGAGGTGAGTCCCCCTACCATCTCTGCCTAGCATGTGCACAATACTAAAATATCAAATTATATTTGATTCCTGGAGCATTTAATATCCGTTTGCTTGTTTGTATGACTCATTAAAAACTGTCCATCAATGGCTGCAATAATACATAGCCTCATATCATTCATTTTCAAAGACACAATATGCATATATATTTCAAATGTGTGATTACACTACACTGGCAACATTGGGAAGAAGTGGAACAATAAAGTACGTTTGGGGAATAACAGTAGTGTTCTTGCTGACAAGCACAGTAATTACCCTATATTTTAGGCCATTGTTAAGAATGACAATTGTTCCACTGATCAGACTAAATAAAGTAAATAGATAATAAAATCTCCTGAAGACAAGACTACATAAATCTGCCCCTACACCCTAATCAAATTATTTTACTTTACAATCAAACATACACTTTTGGGTTCACAATCTTTGACAAAATGTATTTTCATAGTTACAAATCAGGTCACCCTACCAAACTTCCCTGCTAAAACATACTGTAGGTCTGTCTGCTGCCTTTTCATTGTCTCAGCCTAAATGCCAATCACCAAACGAGGGAACTAATGCAAGTGTGGGTTAAATTGACTTTAGTACATGCTGTCAAAAGGCTCCATTCTGCAATAGATTTAATGGACGGGAGTAACAGCAACCTAATTCTGTTGACAACATTTTACATAAAACAGCACTACCATGCTGCTCATTTTACAGTTTTATAAACTCAGTGGAGAACGTTCTCTCCATCCAGCTCCACTCTAATCTTGAGTTGCGTTTCTTTAAAACATTCGTCCAATCCCCTTGATCCTTCACATATCTAGACCAATCATATGCTTCAATGTGCTGCGGTTCACAGTGCTGTGGCAAGACGGGACAATGATCGAGGTTCCACTCATGATGTTAACTTGTAGGCGCAGGTGCTCTGATTTCAAAACGATTTGGAGCACAGTTAACGCGCTAATGTACTAATTTAGAAAAATAAAAGCAGTAATTTTCAATGTGCGAGATATGAGCTGTGGCGTGAGAAGAGGGTCAAATGTGTGTGTCTCACAGCCAATGTGTGAGAATTGGCAGCTCTGATGTAGGCATCTGCAGGAACACCCCTTCTCCTTTCAGCTCCCTCCCATGGACATCTGTCATGTCTGGTGAGTACCCAGGCCATGGAAGAACTGGGACATTTTCAGCTTCCAGGAATTGTGTACAGATCCTTGTGACATGGGGCCGTGCATTATCATGCTGAAAAATGAGGTGATGGCGGCGGATGAATGGCACAACAATGGGCCTCAGGATCTCGTCACGGTATCTCAGTGCATTCATAATTGCCGTTGATAAAATGCAATTGTGTTCGTTGTCCGTAGCTTATGCCTGCCCATACCATAACCAATGTTCCCTCAAAATTGTTTTTGTCACTGAGCAAATTTCAGGTCTGCTGAGCAAAAACTTGAACATTGTGAAGATGCTGTGCAACTTCCGGTGTGTGTTTACTGTGAACACTGAGGTTGTACCCACTTTAAGTTAGTTTTAACAGTGGTCAAGTAGGCTACTGTGGCTATTTGGTCATAATGTAGGCATACCAGAGTGGCCTACCATCAAAAACAATGGAAAAAATGCATCCCATAACATTTTAACGGAAATAGCTGTTCTATCGTTAAGCCTACAGTAGCAGCCAATGTGTGGTGTTCAATGTAGGCATACATTCCATGAGACCTTTGGGGAAAAAAACATGCAGGGCTTGACATTAACCTGTTTATCCACTTCAGACAAGGTGACTAAAAATGTTGTTCTTTGATGCAAGAAAATGCATCATTTTCCCCATACCATTATTACAGCAAATCAGACAAATTATGCTACCCTCTGCCTATTGGCTACTTAGCTTATTCAAGCCTGTCTCAAAATACAACACCCCCCTCTTTAAGACAAAAAAAGCTCTTTACCTGACTCTTTTCAAAGATGTATAGAAATGCACACGTTTTGTGCTCTTGTAGGAAGCAATCACTCCCCCATTGCTGACTACAAATTATCTAATAACTCAGTAACTAGCAAAGGATATGAACAAATGTGCACACGTCGCTACATGTAGCTGTCGCTTTGATCTCAAAACAAGTGCATCTAGTCACGACCGCTCATGCTGTAAAAACAGTCCAGTTCAAAGTGAATGGCACAGATCCATATATGGCATTGGTCTATGCATATAGGCAGACTGCAGCTCTGATTGGTTATGGCTCACCGGTCTGTGTAGAGTATGGGCCTGAGTCGTGCCTGTTAATGCAATAAAATCCTACTCCGATGCATTCTGCCTACAACAATCTCTTGCTTAGTTAGTTTTGCATACTAATTCTTGTATAGTTCATTTTAGTTTCGGTATGTAGCATTGAAAGTGGCTAATATTGTGTTGATTCGATCACAATTCCCACAGTAAATGGAAACGTTGATAGTGTTAGCTAACGGGGAAAACTCTAGAAAGTTGAGTGACGTTCAATCTCATGCTTCTCTGCGCGGGCTGATGTTTCTTCTGCCCGGCAGTCCCGGGGAATAGGCCGGGAACATTGACCATATCCCTACTGCCACCATGGGGCACTCTGTTCACAACGTTGACATCAGCAAACCGCTCACCCACACTACACCATACACGCTGTCTGCCATCTACCCGGTACAGTTGAAACCGGGATTCATCCATGAAGAGCACACTTCTCCAGCGTGCCAGTGGTCATCGAAGGTGAGCATTTTCCCACTGAAGTCGGTTACAACGCCAAACTGCAGTCAGGTCAAGACTCTGGTGAGGGCGACGAACACGCAGAGGTGCTTCCCTGACAGTTTGTGCAGAAATTCTTTGGTTGTGCAAAACCACAGTTTCATCAGGTGGCTGTCTCAGACGATCCTGCAGGTGAAGAGGCCAGTTGGAAGTACTGCCAAATTCTCTAAAACGACGGAGGTGGCTTATGGTAGAGAAATGAACATTCAATTCTCTGCTGTTGCTAGGATAGTCTTCAATAAGTTTTCACTTTCTCTGTCTTTCTGTGTGTCTGTTTTTAATACTTGATTTATTATGAGAAGTGAGAACTACAGAGGGACCGTAACAACAAGTGTATAAGATCTCTGAATGTTGTTTTTTTTTTGCACAGTGACGATTGGTAACAGTTCATGATTTCACGTCCAACAGTTGACAAGTGTAAAAAGACACATTTGATCCATTTTACATTTTAGTCATTTAGCAGACGCTCTTATCCAGAGCGACTTACAGTTAATCGAACCCACAACCCTGGCGTTGCAAACGCCATGCTCTACCAACTGAGCTACATCCCTGCCGGCCATTCCCTCCCCTACCCTGGACAACGCTGGGCCAATTGTGCGCCACCCCATGGGTCTCCCGGTTGCGGCCGGCTACGACAGAGCCTGGATTCGAACTAGGATCTCTAGTGACACAGCTAGCACTGCGATGCAGTGCCTTAGACCACTGCGCCACTGATCCATCTGTCGTTTACAACGATTGTTGGCAAAACCTCTGGATACATTGACGACAGAGGCTTTTATCACAAGTCTAACCATTAAATATATTATGCAACATGTGAGAGGGATTTAATATTTTAAATATGACATACACTTTGACTGGGAAGGGAAGCCCATTAAACAGATTAGGGGAAAAGGACTCCTGGCAACCATACAAACCACTTGGTAATAACTATTTGGTAACTATTGTTTAAGCTAATCCTAATGAGAGCGCCTTGGTTTGTTCAAATAAAATGAAGTGTAATTTGCTGCTTATCTGTGTGTCGCTTATGTCTGCGGAAACAGAAACCCAGTATATCACAAAATATTGATGTTCTAATCTATCACAGACTTTATCCTAGCCTGGTTTCAGATCTGTTTGTAATGTTTTGACAACTCCTATGGTCATTGTCACTCACGCAAAATTATAGGAGTTGGCAAACCAGCACAAACAGATCTAGGACCAGGCTATGCGTTCAAGGACATACTGTAACAATGCCTCTCTATTCCCCCCCCAGGTGGTGAACCTGTTGATGGGCATCCTGCTGACTGTGGCTGTGACCCACCCAGAGAACGTGCCCACTGTGGACCTGCAGTATGAGGTTATCCAGCACTACTTTAGCCACACCCTCCAAGGGGAGGGGAATGCCTTAAAGGGTTAGTTCATCTTATCTTCATGTTTGGGTCAAGTTGTCCACGTAGGCCAGTAGTGACAGCATCCACGATAATCTGTGTTTATCTTCCCTACAGGCAGTAGCTGGCATGATTTAGCATCGTCTCCTGATTTTTGGTATTTGTTAACCCCCCCCCCCCCCCCCCCCCCGACATTAGCAAAGCTGCACTACTTTTTCTAGACTGGTACCTCCTATCTGTCATACACACAAATCCTCTTCTCATCCAGAATTGATAACTTTCTCCAAATGCCTGCTTCTCTAACCTTTCAGCCCAATACTGACTGATTTCGCTAGAGCTCTTATTTTGTCGCAGGCCCAAAGCCTGTAAAAGCAGGATTGTAATACATAACCTGCTGGGCTGTGCTCTCTGTGGCTGGCTGTTGTTTAGTTGGCTCGGTGCAGACTCCTCATTTCCCAGAAACTGTGACTCAGAGAGAGCTGAAGGGGCTTGGCTCTTGTGGGCAGCGACTGAACCACCCCCACAATACACACACACACACACACACACACACACACACAAACAAACAGAAGGACTGTGCCAAAAGACGGGGGGTGCTGTGCGCCCTACGTAAATCCTAGCTGTGATACAACTTCAGCATTCAGGGGACTGATTCGACTAGTATCAAAGCCTGGCACTGCTGTGGCTTCATCGGTGCCATTTCTAGTTACTCTTCCCACTTGGTTACCGTGTTTAAGAAGGAGGTTGCGAGCCAGAGTTTGGCGTCTACACAGCCGACTTCGGACCAACAATTGTATGACATCGCCCCAGGGTAGTGGTACGACTCCCCGGTAGGACACTTTCAATGCTGTCCATCCTTTTCTATGACTCCCACCTACGGTCTAAATAAAGGATATTGTTTACAGACAAAGCATGAGGGACTGAACCGCCGTGACCTGTAGTCTGAGATTTTGTTTATCAAAGTACAAGGTGTGGAAAAAGAGGGCCCTGTTCGAAGACTTGAGAAATGCATCCTTCCTTTCTTGGTTCCTTGAGGTAAGCACAGATCTGTAAGTGATTGGATCGGTATTAAACAACATTACCACCCTATTACTTTCACCAATCCAACCATTTCATATCTGTGATTACCTCAAGGTATCCTGCCTTCCTTTCTGAAGTCTTCTAACAGAGCCGAGAACAGATGGAGACGCCCCAAATAAGAGACCTTCCACACCAATACTCTCCTACCATTACATCCAAAAAATTGAAAAAGTTCTGTATTTGACTACCATTTCCGTCTGTTCTTTTCCACTGATATCTTTCACTGTAATATCAGATATTTCACATGCGCATAGAAAGGTACACAGTTATCCTGTTGGTGTTGGCAGATGCTCCGGTCCAGAATGCCTGCCAGAGGCTGAATGTATAGCCTGGCCTCAGACAGGTACGGGACGTAACGCTGAACTCTACTGTTATGGATTGGGCTGCAGATTGCATCAGTGACGACCCTTCTGAACACACACACTATGCACAGCTTCAGAACAACTGAATTTGGGCGCTCCGCATGAAACGCATACGCCTCTTCTCATTCACTCACAGTCACACTCACAATGCCCTACTATTAAGGAATGGCTTGCAGATTGCATCAGTTACTGTTAAGACAATCGGATGCGTTACACTTTGAAGAGATACTGCTTCCTGCACAGCTTTAGAGTGACTATCTGAATAATAGTCTGGGAGCCTTGGAGTGAACCACACATGTCTCTCCTCACTCACTTAGTCCCCAGCACGAGGCTGTGAGCTGTCAGAAGCACTTGACCGACGCAGCAGATGGCAGGCCTTTTAATTAGCCTAGCGTAGCCTGTGTTGTGTGTTGTTGTCTTCACTGATGCTACTGAGTGCCTGAGCAGGAGAAGCTAAGGGCTCCCCAGAGCAAGCTAACGCTAAAAGAGAGCGAGAGCGAGTTAGTAGGCAATGCATCCCTGGAGACTCTTCAGTTACACACAAATCAATTGGGCCTCTCAGTAGTAGAGCTCTCACTCCGACAGTTGCATGAATGCTCTCTGTGTGGCCCCACCATGGGATGCAACTGACCCAGACCAGGCGGCCATGGTGGCTCACAAGGATAGGTGCACAATACCACTATATTCAATTGTTAGTTATAGATAATTCAACGTTTGGGCTAATATTTTTTTGATTTAGGAGATTTTTTTCTCTCCCGACGCCTTTGACTGACATTAATTTCAAGACATACTACAAGTTGAGTTTGTAGTTGAATACACAAGTATTTGACCCTAATGAATGAACTCTCGGTCTGTTAATCTCTCTCTGACACTCTCTGTGCTTCTAGAGAATGCCTGTGTGGGATTCGTCATCTCTCTGCTGATGCTCTCTATCAGCGCCATGATGGTCTATGGAGCCATTACTGTAAGTTTCTATCTGTGTGTGTGTTTGTCAATCAAATGTATTTTATAAAGCCCTTTTTACATCAGCAGTTGTCAAAGTGCTTTACAGATACCCAGCCTAAAACCCCCACTGAGCAAGCAATGTGGATGTAGAGACAAGGAATCTAGGAAGAAACCTAGAGAGGAACCAGGCACTGAGGGGTGGCCAGTCCTCTTCTGGCTGTGCCGGGTGGAGATTAAGAGTACCTGGTCATTTAGGCCAGATCGTTCTTCAAGACGTTCAAAGATTTGTGTGTGTCTGTGTCCGCATGTCTTCATCCACATCCTGTCCACAATGGAATTTACGACAAAATAAAAAAATTGCGAGTCACTCCTCAACATATTTGCTCAGGGGCGGGAAAATAACCCCTGCATTCTCTCACTAGTGTCTTGGTTTGTGATGCAAATATGTGCTCCGAAATACACATGTATGAAAAGCCTTGCTTCCTGCTTTCTAATAATAGACCTTTTGGTCGCAGCTATTCTAAACCCTGCATACAAATTTAAGTTGTGTGACAGCGGGGACGATGACAATTACCCCTGGAGGAGTGGGTAAAATAGAACATTGAAAATATATTGTTGTCATTGAGCTTCAACCATGGCCATGTTCATTACGAAGGAAAGCGGACTGAAACGGGGAGGGACTACCTGGAGTAATAATAAACACTCATTTTGAGTTTTGTGTTGCAAAATGTTTTAAAACGTTATCTGATATGTGCCCTAATGAACACAACTCCGATGGCAAGTCCTTTGTCACTTCCTGGTGTCTGAAAGGACATTGACCAATAAGAGTCACTGCATGCAGACTCCTTGCTTGTGCATTCAACTAGTCCCACCAGGGCAAGCGGAAAGTTGTTCTAACGTTATCATCTTTACCTCACCAGGCCTGCCTGATGGGTATCCACACTGACAGGTTTGACGGCTATGTGACGTGGACCCAAATAGATCTGCTACTTTAAATGGCGACTCACAGCTAACGCATGACGCCTTGTCAAGGTTTTGGTTGGTCTTTGTGTGAGCGACGAGCGTTATGCCTTAGCTGTGAGTACAGGCTCTTAGGTTACCCTTGTAGATGCCCTGTATTCAGTGTTTGTCAGAGTAGTTCCATTGCTGGCTGTAGCCTCCCTTGCTAAATACCCAGTCATGATGACCTAAGAACAGATGTACATAGATTGATTCACTGCCTGTGAAGTTTGACATCCTCAACCTTGCTAAGAACCCAAAATGTAGATCAGATTTTTGCTAGTGGATATGCTTCTTGCTTGACAAACCCCCTGACAAACTCTCTTGTGAAATGGCCATCATTTTACATGTATGGTCAATTATGTATTTTGTGTTTACCCTTCCACTCCACGTAGCATCGTGACGGCTGGCTCATCCCGTTCTTCTGCTACCAGCTCTTTGACTTTGCTCTGAGTTGTCTGGTGGCCATCAGCTCCCTCACCTACCTGCCCCGGATCAAGGACTACATGACAGACCTGGTGAGTCAGTCCAGTCCACCACCCAGGCCTGTCGGGCCAGTCCACCACCCAGGCCTGTCGGGCCAGTCCACCACCCAGGCCTGTCGGGCCAGTCCACCACCCAGGCCTGTCGGGCCAGTCCACCATCACCACCCAGGCCTGTCGGCTTACTTAAATAAACATCCAGATATAGCTCTTAATTTTCTAGTTAAAGCACAATTAAATCAATTATATAAACCAAAAATCTAAACGCAACAAGTAAAGTGTTGGTCCCATGTTTCATGAGCTGAAATAAAAGATCCCAGAAATGTTCCATACGCACAAAAAGCTTATTTCTCTCAAATTGTGTGCACAAATGTATTTATATCCCTGTTAGTGAGCATTTCTCCTTTGCCAAGATAATCCATCCACCTGACAGGTGTGGCATATCAAGAAGCTGATTAAACAGCATGATCATTACACAAGTGTACCTTGTGCTGGGGACAATAAAAGCCCACTCTAAAATGTGCAGTTTTGTCACAACACAATACCACGTCTCAAGTTTTTAGGGAGCGTGCAATTGGTATACTGACTGCAGGAATGTCCACCAGAGCTGTTGCCAGAGAATTGAATGTTCATTTCTCTACCATAAACTACTTCCAACGTCGTTTTAGAGAATTTGGCAGTACGTCCAACCGGCCTCACAACCGCAGACCACGTGTAACCATGCCAGCCCAGGACCTCCACATCTTGCTTCTTCACCTGCGGGATCGTCTGAGGGGGCGCTGAGGATTATTTCTGTCTGTCGGGCCTATGCCCTCCCAGGACCACCCATGGCTGTGCCCTTGCCCAGTCATGTGAAATCAATAGATTTTGGCCTAATTTATTTATTTCAATTGACTGATTTCCTTATAAGAACTGTAGCTCAGTAAAATATTTGAAATTGTTGCATTTTATATTTTTGTTCAATATAGTTTATATTCAGAGTAAACAAAGTAATTTCAGAATGCTTAGGAAAGTTAGCTGGCAAACTCATTGGACCCCCCAGAAGCTTAACAATATGTTCTCACTACCGTTGTCGCCTGGCCTGTGTCCACTGTCTGTACATTAGACCTGCCGCCATTACATCAGCTGGATTTGACATCTGAATGAGAAATGAAAAAGCACTGGGATGTTCAATGGAACTGAAGCTGAAGCTAAAGATGAACTGTAGGCCCATATTTTAGTACTGTCCCTGGTTTTATGGGGGTGTTTAGTTTTTGTACGTGCTGAATGTGTCTCCCCTCGCCTCTCAGCCGGACTTCCCCTACAAGGACAACCTGCTCTCCATGGACTCCAGCTGCCTGCTGCTCTTCGTCCTCGTGTTCTTCACCTTCCTCATCATCATGAAGGTGTGTGTTTCTGGGAAATAGGCTGTGATTTGAATACTAAACTTATTTTTTCCCCCATCCAGATTCCCAAGAATATGCAATCTATTTGATTTACTGCACTTGTTAATGTTCATTGTGAGATTTGATCTGATTTCCCAATCCATGGCTGTACTTTAGTAGACTAATGATAGACCTTGACTGACTTGACCATCAGTAGATGGGTGATAAACCTTCAGGAGCTGAATCAGTGGTGTTGGAGCTGGGCTAGAACAAAAGCCTGCTCACTGTGGTTCTCTAGGACCAGGATTGAGCATCACTGGCTCAGGTAGAAAGACTAAACATTTTGGCCATTCCACCCCCCCAGGCTTACCTGATCAACAGTGTGTGGAACTGCTACAAGTACATCAACAACAGGAACGTGCAGGAGAGCGCCGTCTACCCTGCCTTCACGGCCCCTCCCCAGGTATGTGTCTGAAAAGCACCCTCTCCGGGTCCCAAATTAATTGTCAATGGCACACATAATCAAACCTATGAAGTATACTGAGGCATAACCAGTAGAGGGCATACCTTTCACATCTTTAGTCAATTCAAGGAAGCACAGTGGTTTCAAGTGTACAGTGCATTTGGAAGTATTTCCACATTTTGTACGTTATAGCCTTATTTTCAAATGGGTTCAATTGTTTTTCCCCCCTCATCAATCTACACACAATACCCCATAATGACAATGCAAAAACACGTTAAATTTTGTTTGTGCAAATATATTAAGAAAAAAACTCACGTTTAGATAAGTATTCAGATCCTTTTACTCAGTACTTTGTTGAACCACCTTTGGCAGCGATTACAGCCTTGCGTCTTCTTGGGTATGATGCTACAAGCTTGGCACACCTGTATTTGGGGAGTTTCTCCCATTCTTCTCTGCAGATCCTCTCAAGCTCTGTCAGGTTGGATGGGGAGCATCGCTGCACAGCTATTTTCAGGTCTCTTCGATCGGTTTCAAGTCCGAGCTCTGGCTGGGCCACTCAAGGACATTCAAAGACTTGTCGTTGTCCTGTTGGAAGGTGAACCTTCGCCTCAGGCTGAGGTCCTGAGCGCTCTGGAGCAGGTTTTCATCAAGGATCTCCAATCAAGTTGTAGAAAACTGCTCAAGGATGATCAATGGAAACAGGATGTACCTGAGCTCAATTTCGAGTCTTATAGCAAAGGGTCTGAATACTTATGTATGTAAGGTATTTCTGTTTATTTTCAAACATTTCTAAACCTGTTTTTGCTTTTGTCATTATGGGGTATTATGTGTAAATTATTTTATCAATTATGGTATAAGGCTGTAACGTAACAAAATGTGGAATAAGTCAAGGGGTCTGAATACTTTCCGATTGCACTGTATACCCAGTCTGCCCTCCTTCCCAGATTATTTTAGAGACGGATGAAATATCTAGCACAATATGAAATGTCTCATATGATTATGTCCATCGCTTTGGTCCTCCCACTGTGTGCAGTATATTTATAAATGGATTGATGAATTTAAAAGAATGTAAGGATTGAATGTGTTCTCCCTCTCTCCTCAGTACATCCTGCCCACCTATGAGATGGCAATGAAGATGCCAGAGAAGGAGCCCCCTCCCCCCTACATGCCCGCCTGAAGACCCTGTGCCACCCCCATCTAGATGTGTGTGTGTGGCCACCCACAGCTCGTCATTTTAACCCCTCCATATATTTCTAGAGAGGAGGGATACTCTTTTTTTTTTAAAGTCCCTCTAACATTCAAACCCGACCCCCGGTAATATTGTAGTGAAAGGAGAGTGGAGGGGCAGATCAAGTAGTCTGCCATTGGATGCCGTGTAGTGTATAAAGCGATGACTTTTCTTTCCTTTTCTCGCCCCGTCTTTTGATGTCTTAATTTAAAAAAAAAGGGATATTGTGAAAGTACCATCGCTTCAATGCCTTTCACCAGTCCAGCTTTAGAAAAAAACATAATTCTTTCCTGATAGATATAACGCGTGAATGTAAAAAGGAAAACTCTTAAGACAATCCACTTATGATAACTCTTATCTTTATTGTTGAATTGTGTTTTTTGTTTAACATAATCTAGATTTTATTCTGTCTAAGAGTTTGATGGGGACGTTTGTAGCTCTTTCTCCTTTTATATATTTGGCCTTAATGTCCATCCGCCACTGTTCCGTGTTCATTCTCCGCTGCCTTTGTGACCTTGCGTTGTTAGCTTAGTCAAGCTAGTGACTTGTGTTGCAGTTCGATGCGTCCAGACACTGCTGGTTAAAGGGAAAGTACACCAACATTTGGCAGATGTTTTCAGACCTCAAAATTAGTCTAATGTCGAGATGAAATAATAAGACTTCTTAACAAAAGTCCACTTTGGAGGTCTGAACATCAGACAAACTTTGGTTTTGGAGTGCACTGTCCCTTTAAGGAGAGCGTAAGGCTCACCTGAAACCTGTAGGGAAGGAACAGCTAGTGTAAACAGCACTGGATGCTCTACTCTTTCTTTCTGCCTTTTTCTTTACATTGTGTTTTGATCCTTGTGGGAAACAAATGGCCTCAATAAACCATTCAAAAACATTTTGTATCCAATCTTTGGACGGTGTGTCCATTATTTTTTTCCCCTGATGTGTTCAAAGAAATGTCCATACTTTTTGTTGTGGACTAATTTGGTTCTGTACTCTGGTTAAACTCCAGTAGAAATCCCTTTTCTTTTTTTTTTTTTTTTTTTTGCTGAAAAACGATGGCCAGAGCTTACCTATGATGTTGCACAATGATTTAAGTCAATAACTGATCGTCTTAGACAAATTATGATATTTCTGGGCTTAAAGTGACAAATCCGAACTGCCCAGTATGTTAAAATCCATGTGAATGCAGTGTCTTTTCATATATGATATACAATTATTTTCAGCCTACGTTTCGTTTCGGTGTTGGGTTTTATTTGAATGTTACCCAGCAGCATGGCATTGTTTATTAATCAGAAAAACCTGCAAAGTTATTCCTCCTTGTGACAGAGATAAGCCAAACAGCCTTGTCTACTTGGCCCCCTGAGACATGGAGCTAATTAAAATAGGGGGTGCAAACGTATGTTTTTGCACCGGCACTTTTTTTGTGTGTGAAAATGATCATAATTGGATAATTTGTAAATGTTCACTTATTTTTGAGCTAGTCTGTTAAAATATCTTGCCATTTTATAAATGGTATAATTGTGTGATATGATAGCATTTTGCAAACCCGCTCGCCCCGCTGTGTCCATTACAATGTAGAAAAACACATCAGCTATCTTTCACTAGTTATCCATATTACCGGATCTTCAACTATTTATATGGTGGATTCACTATCGCATTTTATGGAAAATACCCAAACTTTGGAGATGACAATCGATGGTGAAGTCAAATATATGCCAGTGATTTCCATCTGTGGTGTAATTTCTTCTTTTGGGTTTGGTTGGCGGATCGCATCCAAATTTTAGGTGCATACACCGCCACCTACTGTACTGGCCATTCACGGCCTACCTACATTCAATTCTTGGTAAGGTAATATAAAATTGGGGAAAGGAAAATTGCCCGCCAACTATTAACCCTATAAAAAATATAAAAACACCCCATTCCAATATTTAACCCTATATAATCCTACTCCAGACCAACGGTTTGAGAGGACAGAACACTACCACTCAACAACCTGCAACTGTTTTGCTGTAAATCCTCGCAATCCCAAGAACTTCTCTGCCGCTGCCACCACAACCTCTATTTTCTGTGACTTCCGATCCATTTCTGCAGTACAATTGACAACCATGGCTATGAATGCTATAAAGCTCACCTTACTGAAGCAGATATTTTTCTCATCACTCTCTCTTGGTCTCTGCCTACTCACAGGAATCATCTCTGTATCCCTCACCCTGGACCCATCTTCCTCTACCACTCTCTTCACTGCTTCGGCAAAGACACTTTCTGTACTACTCTAACCCTGGCAACCTCAACCTGCCTTTCACCGGACACCTCGGATCTCCAGCCCCATGGCCAGCTAAAGCAACTTTCTCCACCGATACTACACATTCCTTCGTCTCATGCCCTCCTACACACTTCTCACATCTAGGAATCTCCCTCCTACACACTGCTGCAACATGCCAATAAACTTGACACCTAAAACGCCATAGTGTTTTCGAAACAAAAGCTCTCACTGGATAACTTACACTTCCTAACTTTACCTTGTCGGGCAAAGACTCCATCAAAACTCAGCGGGACAGACAATGACTTCTCCGTTTCCCCACGCTCTCCACCGGATATGCATCGCACCAAACGGAGGGCATCACCAGACACCGGAAGTCTTCAATTTCAACTGATCCTCCTCAACACTTAATGCCACCCTGTTATCACTCATGTCAACGCAGGGCGCCGGAGAGTAAAGCAAGTCACATTTATTGTCCTTAATCGCGTGATCCGGAGCGCCCGCTCCCTCAGGACTGAAGAAACACAAATCATCACTAATCCACTCAGTTACTCTCACCAACTCAACAGTCCCCAACCTCTTCTCCACCCAACCTGACACCACATATGGATCAGCCAAAATGCAAGGATCCATTCTTTCCACAAACTTACTCCCACTGGGCCAGAGTCATCCTTTTCATCCTGGGGAGTGTCCCAAACTCAGCGGTCCTCAGTGCCAGTATCACATCCATACCCTCGTCAGGTTCCATCTCTGAGCTACTAGAGCACGTATCCCTCTTTTTGCACTTGACGCCAATCGTCCACACCACTTCCTGCACCTGCCACCACAATGAATTCACCCTCACTCTCATCACATTTACTTTCCTTCTCTAGCTCTTCCAAAAGTTCTGTGCGATCCTTATCCGCCATGTTCTCCTTCACCAGATCTCCCAGAAGGCTTGTGCAATCCCCCACCCCATATTTATTCAGAATGTTCCACTTTCTTCCTTTTTTCCTTATCCGCCATGTTCTCCTTCACCAGATCTCCCAGAAGGCTTGTGCAATCCCCCACTCCATATTTATTCAGAATGTTCCACTTTCTTCCTTTTTTCCTTGTCCGCCATCTTCTTTTCATGATCTCTGCTCTTTTTTAGTTTTCCCTAAATCAGCGCTTATGATAAATCCAGCTCCAGACTTCGATGAGGTTTAACGGCGGTTGGCATCCAATAAATGTTGCATTACCTGAAACTGAGTTTGAAGGTAGGCCTTGAAATACATCCACAGGTACACCTCCAATTGACTCAAATTATGTCAATTAGCCTATCAGAAGCTTCTAAAGCCATGACATCATTTTCTGGAATTTTCCAAGCTGTTTAAAGGCATAGTCAACTTAGTGTATGTAAACTTCTGACCCACTGGAATTGTGATACAGTGAATTATAAGTGAAATAATCTGTCTGTAAACAATTGTTGGAAAAATTACTTGTGTCATGCACAAAATAGATGTCCTAACCGACTTGCCAAAACTATAGTTTGTTAACAAGAAATGTGTGGAGTGGTGTAAAAACAAGTTTTAATGACTCCAACCTAAGTGTACGTAAACTTCCGACTTCAACTGTATATACACTGCTCAAAAAAATAAAGGGAACACTTAAACAACACATCCTAGATCTGAATGAATAAAATAATCTTATTAAATACTTTTTTCTTTACATAGTTGAATGTGCTGACAACAAAATCACACAAATTATCAATGGAAATCAAATGTATCAACCCATGGAGGTCTGGATTTGGAGTCACCCTCAAAATTAAAGTGGAAAACCACACTACAGGCTGATCCAACTTTGATGTAATGTCCTTAAAACAAGTCAAAATGAGGCTCAGTAGTGTGTGTGGCCTCCACGTGCCTGTGTTGACCTCCCTACAATGCCTGGGCATGCTCCTGATGAGGTGGCAGATGGTCTCCTGAGGGATCTCCTCCCAGACCTGGACTAAAGCATCCGCCAACTCCTGGACAGTCTGTGGTGCAACGTGGCGTTGGTGGATGGAGCGAGACATGATGTCCCAGATGTGCTCAATTGGATTCAGGTCTGGGGAACGGGCGGGCCAGTCCATAGCATCAATGCCTTCCTCTTGCAGGAACTGCTGACACACTCCAGCCACATGAGGTCTAGCATTGTCTTGCATTAGGAGGAACCCAGGGCCAACCGTACCAGCATATGGTCTCACAAGGGGTCTGAGGATCTCATCTCGGTACCTAATGGCAGTCAGGCTACCTCTGGCGAGCACATGGAGGGCTGTGCGGCCCCCCAAAGAAATGCCACCCCACACCATGACTGACCCACCGCCAAACCGGTCTTGCTGGAGGATGTTGCAGGCAGCAGAACGTTCTCCACGGCGTCTCCAGACGTCTGTTGCGTGCTCAGTGTGAACCTGCTTTCATCTGTGAAGAGCACAGGGCGCCAGTGGCGAATTTGCCAATCTTGGTGTTCTCTGGCCAATGCCAAACGTCCTGCACGGTGTTGGGCTGTAAGCACAACCCCCACCTGTGGACGTCGGGCCCTCATACCACCCTCATGGAGTCTGTTTCTGACCGTTTGAGCAGACACATGCACATTTGTGGCCTGCTGGAGGTCATTTTGCAGGGCTCTAAGCAGTGCTCCTCCTGCTCCTCCTTGCACAAAGGCGGAGTTAGCGGTCCTGCTGCTGGGTTGTTGCCCT